TTTCCCAGGACAGTAGCGTGCTTTGTCTCTATGCCCAAAGCACTGTTACTAGATTATCACTCAGTTTAGGATAATGATGAAATTAAACAACGGTATGACAGTTTAGCTCCATAAACTATGGTGCTTTGCAGATTTTACAGATTAACAGGCCTGATTTACTGCACGTTTTTCGTCTAAATTGTATTGTATGTCTGATTCCCTGCAATTTATATAAATCACATTTTAACATCGCTGTATTCATGCTTGGGGAACATATGGTAGATGCTAATTATTATTATTATTATTGCCATTTATATAGCGCCAACAGATTCTGTAGCGCTTTACAATATTTTGAGAGGGGGGATGTAACAATAAATAGGACTATTACAAGAAAACTTACAGGAACAATAGGTTGAAGAGGACCCTGCTCAAACGAGCTTACAGACTATAGGAGGTGGGGTATTAGACACATTAGGACAGGAAATATCAAGTAGGAGTGAAGCAGAGCTGGAGGAGAGAGTAAAGCACTGTCCCATAGGAGAGAGCAGGAGACAGGTATGTAAGGTAGAGATTACTCTGGGAGGCCATAAGCTTTCCTGAAGAGATGGGTTTTAAGGCCCTTCTTAAATGATTGAAGACTAGGGGAGAGTCTGATGGCAGTAGGCAAGCTATTCCATAGGAGAGGAGCCGCCCGCGAGAGGTCCTGCAAGCGCGAGTTGGCCGTACGGGTGCGAGCAGCGGTCAGGAGGTGGTCACGGGCAGAGCGGAGGGTACGAGGAGGGGCATATCTATGGATTAGTGAAGAGATATAAGTGGGGCTAGAATTGTTCAGTGCTTTAAATGTATGGGTTAGCACTTTGAATTGACTCCTATAGCATACAGGGAGCCAATGTAAGGACTGGCAGAGGGGTGAGGTGTGAGAGGACCGACTAGAGAGGAAAATCAGTCTAGCTGCAGCATTCATTACAGACTGTAGCGGGGCAATACGGCTTTTGGGGAGACCAATCAGGAGAGGGTTACAGTAATCCATGCGGGAAATTACTAGAGCATGGACAAGCTCCTTGGTAGCATCTTGCGTAAGAAAGGGGCGAATGCGGGCTATGTTTTTGAGTTGGAAACCTACAGGACTTGGCAACAAACTGGATGTGAGACTCAAAGGTGAGACCAGAGTCAAGTATGACGCCAAGACAGCGTGCTTGCAGGGATGGACTTATGTGGATATCACTGACTTGAAGGGAGAGCGAGAGAGGAGGATCAGTATTAGGAGGAGGAAAGACAAGGAGTTCAGTTTTAGAGAGGTTAAGTTTCAGAAAGCATGAGGACATCCAGTCAGAGATGGAAGAAAGGCAAGCAGTGACACGTTGCAGGACGGCAGGGGAGAGGTCCGGGGAGGAGAGATATTTCTGAGTGTCATCAGCGTACAGGTGGTAGTGGAATCCAAAAGAAGCAATAAGTTTACCAAGAGAGGCAGTATAAAGAAAAAATAGAAGGGGACCAAGGACAGACCCTTGGGGAACTCCAACCGAGACAGGACGAGGGGAGGAGGTATCCTTGGAAAAGGAGACACTGAATGAGCGTTGGGAGAGATAGGAGGAAAACCAAGAGAGGACAGAGTCACAGAGACCGAGCGATTGAAGAGTTTGAAGGAGGAGAGCATGATCAACGGTGCCAAAGGCAGCAGAGAGGTCAAGGAGAATTAATATGGAGTAGTGACCTTTGGATTTAGCGGAGATTAGGTCATTAGTCACTTTGATAAGAGCAGTCTCAGTAGAGTGGAGAGGGCGGAAGCCAGACTGAAGAGGGTCAAGGAGAGAGTTGGAATAAAGGAAGCGAGACACACGGGTAAAGACAAGTCTTTCCAAAAGCTTTGATGAGAAAAGGAGCAGGGATATGGGACGATAGTTAGAAGGGGAGGATGGGTCAAGAGATGTTTTTTTCAGGATAGGTATTACAGTGGCATGTTTAAGGTCAGCAGGAACAGTGCCAGAAGAGAGAGAGCAGTTAAAGATGTGTGTTAGGGTAGGCACAAGACAAGGGGAGAGAGATCTGATGAGGTGAGATGGGACAGGATCGAGCAGGCAAGTGGTGGGGCGAGAAGAATGGAGACGCGCAGCCACCTCTTGTTCAGTAGCTGGGTAGAAAGTCTGGAGGCTAGGGAAAGCATGATTTACATGTGGTTAAGAAAGAGAACGGCAAGGAGGGGAGAATTGTTTCCTTAGCTGCAATCTTGTCGGTAAAATAGCATGCAAAGCTATCAGCTATAAGGTTAGTTTGGGGGGTGGCCACAGCAGGGCAGAGAAGGGAATTAAAGGTGTCAAAGAGATATCTGGGATTGTGGGAACATGAACTAATGAGAGAGGAAAAGTATGACTGTTTGGCGAGGGTGAGGGCTGCGCTGTATGAAAGCAACATGAATCTATAATGGAGAAAGTCTGCCTGGGTGCGGGACTTCCTCCAGGAGGATTCAGCACAACGGGAGCAACTCTGCAGATAGCGTGTTGATTTATTATGCCAAGGTTGGGGTCGTGTCCTCCTCGAGGTGCATGTTTGGAGTGGGGCTGCAGCGTTCCAGGCAGATGTGAGGGTAGTGTTATATGTGGAGATGGCCAGTGAGGGACAGGAGAGGGAAGGGATGGATAGCAGTTGTGAATCAATGTCAGCTGACAGCTGCTGGAGGTCAATAGAGTTAAGGTTCCTCCTGAGCTGAGATTGTTGGGTGAGGGGGTAATTGAGAGCAAACGATAAGAGGTGCTGATCAGAGAGAGGAAATGGAGTGTTGCAGATATTAGATATTGTACATGAATAAGAGAAAATAAGGTTGAGGGTATTGCCAGCTACATGAGTGGGATAATTAGCCCACTGCAAAGGTCTAAGGGAGGAAGTAATTGAAAGTAGTTTAGAGGCTGCTGGGGTTAAAGGTGGGTTAATGGGAATATTGAAGTCTCCAAGAATTAGGGATGGGATGTTGGAAGAGAGGAAGTAGGGTAGCCAGGCAGCAAAGTGGTCAAGGAAGAGGAGAGGGGAACCAGGGGGGCGATAGATTATGGCAATGTTAGCAGAGAAGGGTTTGAAAAGGCGAATTGAATGAATTTCAAATCATGGTAAAGAGAGGGAAGGGGGGTGAACAGGGTTTTATAGGAGCAGTGGGGTGAGAGAAGAAAAACTACACCGCCACCTTTAACCTCAGCTTGTCTTGGATTGTGGGTAAAGTGAAGACCACCAAAGGACAGTGAGGCAGGTGTAGCAGTATCAGAGGGAGAGAGCCATGTTTCTGTTAGTGCAAGTAGGTTTAGGGAGTGTGAGATAAATAGGTCATGGATGGAAGTAGATTTAAAGGTGCTGCACACAGAGCATGCATTCCAGAGGGCAGCTTTAAAAGAGGAATTATAGTGAGAATTACATGGAATGTGTATTAGGTTGTTGTGGTTTCTGGTGTTTGTACCAGGTGGCTGAGTAGTGGAGGGACCAGGGTTTGGAGAGACATCACCTGCTGCTAGGAGTAGTAGGATGGAAAGAAAGAGAAGGTGGGAGTAAGATTTAAATGAGCTTGTATTTAGGGTATTTAGGAGGGGTGTGTGGAGAAAGGCTGGATAAATATGAGTAAAGTGCGTGTGATGAATACAGAGATGAGGGGAGCAGAGAGGGAGCAATGAAGATGGTGTTAGCAGGAACAGGTAGATTGCTAACCACAGGCCATGCATGCCGATAGAGACTAGAATGATGCTTCAGAGCTTTTACACTTTTTGAGGTCAAGCTTATTCTTCCTATTTAGCCTATCTGGTGGCATGTCAATTTATTGTTCCCTGGAGCATGAGACTGCCCTTAAACATTTAAACATAAAACATAGGGAACTTCTAAGAGAGGCAGTCCATGTTAAGGGGGTACACCGCTGTATATATGCTAAACAATGCTGATGGATGCAGTTCCTAGCTGTCGTTCATTCTACCCTGGGGAAGCTAGTGAAATAAGGTATTTGCCAGTAATACATGCCTTACGGGCACAGAGGGTAAGTACAGGATAAGAATAATACAAGAACAATGTGAGAGATGTGAAAGATGTGTAAAATACCGCTGGTTAATAATGGCATATATAGTCCTTGTGGCAGACAGGCTGCGCAAGTCCTCGCCTTGTGTCGGGGCTCCGTGTCTCTGTAGCGTCTGGCGTGGATGTGAGTGTGGGTTCTCCATCGCTGTTGTGCCAAGCATTGGTTGGGGCTGGAGAGAGAGAGGCTTCAATCTGCGTGTGAGTGTATGGGAGGCGGCAGGGTGATGCAGGTAGGTCAGAGCCTTCTTCCGGCACCAGGCCTTTGTGGATGGCCGCATCAGTGGACCACAGTAAGCGGTCGCAGTAAGAGACCCAGGTGGACTTGCGCCGCCAGCAGCGGGCGGTCCTTCTGCGTGGTGGCAAATGCTTTGGAGGCTTTCTCCTTAAGACCCTCAGCCTGGGTGGGTAAGTAGGAGCGGTAGCTGATGTGGGGTTGTTATCGGTGCCTGGGAACGGTCGTTTCTGCTCCGCAGTTTTTCTCTGTTTTTTGTTGAAAATCGGATTCAAGGCTCAGAAGCTCACAGATAGTGTGTCTGTTCAGCTCCTACAATCTGTTATTCTAAAACGCTTTTACTCCTTATTTTTATTTCTTTATAGATATAGAATAATATAATTTTGGCCACTCAGAATTGGCATTGTAGAATTGGCTAATATTGCATGGTCATTAGGAAAGGCAACATTGCAGCCATTGTTTTTATGTCAGCCAGTTATAAGCACTCATGTTTAATGCTTTTATGGCTGTCCACATGGTTTTCAAAGAGCAACATGAACTAAAATCTCTTGACCTCAAAGATATTTTTATTTTCTGCCTAATTGCTTTGGAAGAACCAAAGATTTTCCCCTTTTCACCAGCTTTTCCCAAATCTAACGCCTGGGCATTAGTGCCAATATTAATACTACAGGTGCATGGCATGTGCCTTTAAGTGATTTAAAACAATAGATTTTATTTTGATTTTGTTACATAGATGTTAATTTGTTTAGGACCAATTTGCAATCCAGTCAAAGTCCCTGAAATCTTCCTGCTCTTCTTCTGTAAGTTCCTTTGTCCCATTTGGAGGCGTCAAGATGGGATCTTCTGAGGTATACTCATCGAAATTCCTAACATCTTCAATTCCATCGATGGTTGGTATAAAGGGGGGCTTCACATTCTTAGCTAATAATTCATCCCAGTCTATCTCCTGTTAACAAATTAACAAATTAAACATTTTAGTGCAAGACAGTGGTTTCGACAAAGATAACGAATATGCATCATTAAGTCATAAAATTAAGATGAAAAATATAGACTGGCAAAAATCTGAAAAACGAAATTCTACACAAGTTACAATGTAATTCACAAATCCATAATTAAAGTCAACGGATAGGATTACACGTGCATTCATTAGTGGAAGAAAGTAGTTTTGACAAAGATAAATTCTTTGTATCACTGTGCTCTGCACATGCAAATACAGGGGACATTTTACATTGGCCGTTTAATGCCTTCACGGGCATGAATTTAATGCAAATATACATAAGGACATAAATTTAAATAAGCATCCAAATGAACTAATGTTTATTTAGGTGTTAGAATGTAGGTTTCCCCAGATGTGACAAAATTTCACTTGGAACTAAAAACAAGATTGAGGTAGAATATACCATTCCTCTCTACATAACTATGGCTGGTAGATGAACAAAATGGACTTACTTGAAAGAATGGATTCCACTTTACATCTTCTGCGTCATATTCACTTGCCCCTAGACGGTCCTCTGGATTTATGTTGAGAAACTGTAAAAGACATTTTTTTTTCTTAAAATGGCGCTTGGTATTTTGATTAAAAGAAATTAATTAATTAATTAATTAAAACAAAATTGCAAGCAGTTTATGCAGATAATGTACTGTCCTGATTACTATGATTCCTCTTGCTATTTTTTTTTCATCGAAATGAGTCTCCAAACATAACATTATTCTGTATCTTTTTGTAGCTAGATCCATATGTGCCTGTAACTGCCTGTCCCACTTTGTTATAGTCAACCACACTGTGCTCTCTAAAATCCAAGTTAAAAACACTAAACATGCATTGGCAACATACATCTTCGATTACATCGATGGTTTCTACAGACAGGACAGACATGAACTCCGGACAGCTGAATCTGCGATTGATGATGTTATTTATCTTTTCAAATTCATCTTCGCCGTCAAAAGGAGTCTACAGTAAAGAAAATAAAATTAAATAAATCTGATGAATTATCTTGTTGATAAACACACATTGGTATATAGTGTTTTGCTTGTCGAGTCAGGATTCCGTCCATTAATTCTTAATAAACTATTCTTACCACTCCTGCCAGCATTGTATATATTAGCACTCCCAGACTCCACCAATCCACAGCTTTGGTGTAACTTTCGTGCTTGAGGATTTCGGGAGCCATGTAATCTAGTGTTCCACAATGACTTGTGGTTCGTTCTCCATATCCGATTCCTCAGAGAGAGACAAAAGTTAATTATATTTAAATTGAAGATGTACATTCCCTGCCTTTAAAGTAACACTATAGGGTATTCCTGATCCAACTATTTTTGTATAGGTTTTTTTTATTACATTTTTTAAAAAGTAATTTCCTGAGATCGAATCCACATATTGGTTTGTTCAATGATCCCTTGTTACAAAGTATATTATCATTTGTGCTTTTGATATATTTTTGTTTATGTAATTTTTTTATTTTAATTATGTACAGAATTAGATTATGTTTGAATGTGGCTAAATTTAAATGAGGAATTTATTCACAATTGTAATTTGTTTTTTGATTTCCTTTCTATGCCTGGCTATCCTGGCACAGCTAGGGCACACCATGTAAATTAACTTGCAATATGAACACTACAGTGCAGGTCCTTTCATGTGGTCTAAAGTCTGTTGGTGCCATATCCCAGTTTTATGTCAAACCTTTTAGAATTGGTTTGAAACCAATTTTTGCTCTCTGTATCCTCATCTGCCACATTGGTAATGTGGAGTTAAAGTTCCATAAAATCATTGTCTAGATCTATTTCCCTTAGAGCCTTTTGGCTATTTTTTCTGCTTTAATATTGCATGTTTGTTTTTGTACTTATTAAAATCGGACTAGATAAAAGGACCAAAAAAGCTATTTTTACATTTTCAAAGTCTTAATGGCTGTTTAGGAAACAAGCACACATTTGGTTTTATGCTGAATTTTAAGGATATAATTTTATATGTGTAAAGCCAGCACTGATGTTACAGAGGCATTCGTTAATTTATCGAATATCTATGTATAAATGTAAAATGATATCTACCTTCCTTACTAATACCGAAGTCAGTTATTTTTGCAAATCCTTCCTTATCCACAAGTATATTCTCTAATTTAAGATCCCTAGATTAAAATGCAGAAAAAAATTTTTTAATCATTTTTACATAATTCTAGAGGACACTTGGATGCAGATATTAATGGGATTCCTTGTTTAGGCTTTTAAAAAGTTTACATTTAAAACCATAACATAGACAAACAAATAGGTTTAAGCACAGGCAGTGCTGTAAATATAACAAATATAACTGCGCAATCCACTTTTCTTTTTTGCGCTTTACACTTACCTGTGGATAATCTTTTGGGAATGCAAATATTCCAAGCCAAGCACAACACAAGCAGCATAAAATCTATGAAAAGAAAACGCGTTGGTTACTTTTAAGATGATAAAAAATGCAATCTTTGTACTATTGAAAAGTTATTTTCCACAAATCCTGTGTCACTCTATGGTCTGACATGGTGACTTTTAATGTAACACTCTCAGCCAATCCATATTGACTAAAGTTGGTAATGCTATTTCAGAAGTATAAAATTCTTCTGTTGTATAGAATGGAAAGACCGTGGGACCTGGACAGTCAGGTAAGTGTAAAATAACGATTATCTTTCCCAATAATCTAACTAGACTCTATGGAATGTATTGCCTACCTCAATGCCAGCAGCTGCTAAACACTGCATTACAGGTTTAGCAATATGGGCACAATGGTGCCTATACTTACGTCGCTCTGGGCTCTGTTAATGCACCGTTGCTGTTGTAAACGTTTGTAACAAGGTCCCCGCCAGGAGCGTATTCCATGACAAAGCAGGCATGATATGTGGTCTGGAAACAACCAAACAGGTTTACCAGAAATGGATGGCGCATGCTGCTTATAGATTGGAAAATGTGCTTCTCACTCATAAGACTGGATAAGGAACAATAAGTCAATTATTTCCCTGATCTCCAAAAACTCATAACAAATAAAATAAAACAGGATAAGGTATGAATAGCTCTGTTTACTGACCGGTGGACCTTTTTTGTTGAAATGATGTCTCCTTTTTTCAGTGCTTTCAGGGCATAGATTTTCTCAGTGTCCTTGTGTTCAGCAAGGAACACCTAAAATTAAAAACAAAGGTATGCATGTGCTCTTAGTTTGCATCAATTCATTCAAGTTTGGTACGGCAGAATTGCATTTTTTTTTCTACCATGTCATTTTTATTTTGCTTCTTTCCTTTGAAGACTTTTTTTGTGGTTAGATCACAATTTTGGGGGTAGTCTGTATATAAAAAATACATTTCGCAAAGCTTCACCTATCTTTCCTACAAACGTTTCCAACTATATCATTGTGGTGGATTTTCTGTCTGACAAAAATATAGTATCCAACTGACAAATTTTGCGATTAAAAATAAAATAAAAAAAACAGACCTCTTTAGAAAAATGTACTGGCTTATACATATAAATGTAGCACATTCGTTAAATGTAGATGTTTTAAACACTTTGATACACAAACAAAACGCAAAAAAAATATTCTGTTCTAATGCATTTGCTAAGACACTTTTTCTCGAAAGAGTATTTGTATTCATGCTTAAACTTACTTTCCCGAATTTTCCTCTACCCAGCACACAGCGAAGATCGAAGTCTTCCAGGCTGAGTTGACATTCTGGCTCAATATTGCCAGATGCTGGAAGCACGCTGTTATCGGGTTCTTTTGTTGTTTCTGAGATTATGCTTAGCGACGTTAATTTATTAAAGCATGGATATTCATTGCTTGCTCCAGAATCCTAGGAAAAAAAACATACGCCATAATTTAAAGTTGTTATTTCCCCCCCCCCTCCGTGACAATTGTTGCCTTTGGTCCATGGGTTTGTAATGGTGGGTCTAAAACATTGATTAATAAATAAATGAAGTCGGGAATAGCAGACAAACGAAGAGGAAGCAGGGTATGTTGGAAAATAACTGGAGAAGCAATGTGTGTGGGAGAATTATGAAGAAGAAACAGAGGATGGAGTGATAAAGTGGTGGTGATTTTAGAGGCAAAGACTATAGTCATTAAAACTCCTGTATCTGATGCTTCAGGACAAATGGAAGAATTAAACCACCTACAAAATAAAATGTACATTTCACATATTGGGCTCTGGCTGTACTGATTGTATGTTTGACTCCTGATCATTATAAGTCGACATTGTTTACGAGCGGCAAATGAAGAATTAAAAACAAAAACAATGGTTGTGATAGTGGACAAAGATTGAGTGTGTTTACGTTTTTCACAATATCTCACAAATCATTTGCCAGGGATTATCAGGACTTCAGTAATCTAAATTTTCTTTAATGACTAGGTTTGCGTGAATGTGCAGGGAAAAGAACAAAACAAAAAAAAGCGTATAGCTTTACCTGAGCCGATATATCTGTTCTCTCAGTGTGTCCTGAAGACTGATGTTGATCACCATGTGCAGGTGTTGGAGATGGAATAAGAAGTGTCTCCAATGTTACATCAGTGACATCAGTTTCTGGAACTGATGCAGTTGTTTCACCCTAGAAAAAAAAGACATACACCATAAATTAAATTCCCCCCACCCCCTCTCCCCCAATGACCATTGTGGCCTTTGGTCCATGGGATTGTAATGGTGGGTCTGAAACATTGATTCATAAATAAATGAAGTCGGGAATAGCAGACAAACGAAGAAGAAGCAGGGGATGTTGGAAAATAACTGGAGAAGCAATGGGTGTGGGAGAATTATGAAGAAGAAATGGTGGATGGAGTGATAAAGTGGTGGTGATTTTAGAGGCAACGACTATAGTCATTAAAACTCCTGTATCTGATGTTTCAGGACAAATTGAAGAATTAAACTACCTACAAAATAAAATGTACATTTTACATATTAGGCTCTGGCTGTACTGATTATACGTTTGACTCCAGATCATTATAAGTCGACATTGTTTACAAGCAGCAAATGAAGAATAACAATCAAAAACCATGGGTGTGATAGTGGATGAGGTTTGCGTGAAGGTGTGGGGAAAAGAACAAAACAAAAAAAGAAGCGTATAACTTTACCTGAGCCAGTATATCCATTCTCTCAGTGTGTCCTGAAGACGGATGTTTATCACCATGTGAAGGTGTTGGAGATGGAATAGGAGGTGTCTCCAATGTTACATCAGTGACATCAGTTTCTGGAACTGATGCAGTTGTTTCACCCTAGAAAAAAAAGACATACACCATAAATTAAATTCCCCCCACCCCCTCTCCCCCAATGACCATTGTGGCCTTTGGTCCATGGGATTGTAATGGTGGGTCTGAAACATTGATTCATAAATAAATGAAGTCGGGAATAGCAGACAAACGAAGAAGAAGCAGGGGATGTTGGAAAATAACTGGAGAAGCAATGGGTGTGGGAGAATTATGAAGAAGAAATGGTGGATGGAGTGATAAAGTGGTGGTGATTTTAGAGGCAACGACTATAGTCATTAAAACTCCTGTATCTGATGTTTCAGGACAAATTGAAGAATTAAACTACCTACAAAATAAAATGTACATTTTACATATTAGGCTCTGGCTGTACTGATTGTACGTTTGACTCCAGATTACTATAAGTCGACAATGTTTACGAGCGGCAAATGAAGAATTAAAAACAAAAACAATGGGTGTGATAGTGGACGAAGAAGCGAGTGTGTTTAAGTTTTTCACAATATCGCACAAATCATTTGCCAGGAATTATCAGGACTTCGGTTATCTAAATTTTCTTTAATGACGAGGTTTGTGTGAATGTGTGGGGAAAAGAACAAAACAAAGAAAGAAGCGTATAGCTTTACCTGAGCCGGTATATCCGTTCTCTCAGTGTGTCCTGAAGACTGATGTTGATCATCATGTGAAGGTGTTGGAGATGGAATAGGAGGTGTCTCCAATGTTACATCAGTGACATCAGTTTCTGGAACTGGTGCAGTTGTTTCACCCTAGAAAAAAAAATACATACACCATGAATTAAATTCACTTATCCAACCTCCCCCCAATGACAATTGTGGCCTTTGGTCCATGGGATTGTAATGGTGGGTCTGAAATTGATTAATAAATAAATAAAGTCGGGAATAGCAGACAAACGAAGAGGAAGCAGGGTATGTTGGAAAATAACTGGAGAAGCAATGGATATGGGAGAATTATGAAGAAGAAACAGTGGATGGAGTGATAAAGTGGTGGTGATTTTAGAGGCAGCGCCTATAGTTATTAAAACTCCTGTATCTGATGCTTCAGGATAAATTGAAGAATTAAACTACCTACAAAATAAAATGTACATTTTACATATTGGGCTTTGGCTGTACTCATTATACGTTTGACTCCAGATCACTATAAGTAGTCATTGTTTACGAGCGGCAAATGAACAACCATGGGTGTGATAGTGAACGAGGTTTGCGTGAATGTGTGGGGAAAAGAACAAAACACAAAAAAAGCATATAGTTTTACCTGAGCCGGTATATCCGTTCTCTCAGTGTGTCCTGAAGACTGATGTTGATCACCATGTGAAGGTGTTGGAGATGGAATAGGAGGTGTCTCCAACGTTACATCGGTGACATCAGTTTCTGGAACTGGTGCAGGTGTTTCATCTTTATTAATAAAGTTTTCTTGGTCAATTAGTGCCTGCAAATGTTCTATCTCATTCTCGATGTCTTCAAGCTTTTCCTGCAATGCCTCAAGATATTTAAGGTTTTCTGGAGGGCCTTTGGAATATGCCAGGAACATATTCTCTGCACCTCGCTTCACCTTAAGCTCAATTTCGAGGTGTTTTTGCAGTGCAGTTAAATTCCCATTGTCTGCATGGGCACTTGGGTCACCTTCAAGAGCAACTGAGGTCTTGGAACATACTGGAAAATTAGTAATAAGACAAAACCTAAATAGAAATGCTGGCAGCTGGTACTATTCTGTCCAGGTTAAAATAAAAATGTAGGTAAGCCACTTTTGTTGACACAAAAAGCAGCAATCTAGGATCTAAAGTAATTTTTGGTACACAAACCCTATAGTCACTGGTGTAGCGTGGGCTGGGCCACAGGGCCTCTTGCCCTGGGCGCAAAATTCTTTGGGGCCCAAAATTTCAAAAGAAAAAAAAGAAAGGAGTAGTAATATATTTTTAAAAATAGCGCGCCCTCCCAATCACCCAGAAAATCTCCCAATGTTCAAACATTATACAGTTTTTCAGCATGACAGGGCAAATAAACGTCACTACATCACATTTTACAGTAGTTTGCTTGCTAATCACAGCCATACTGTCCTTCTGTAATTCTTATCGGTGAATTACATAATGCCTATTAATAACGTGATTTCCTGTTTAAAGATAACACCAGAAATCACTCTTTAATAGGCATTATGTAAATGCCCATTACATGTTATCATAAAAGTATGCCATTAACAGGCGCCTAAATAGCCTCACTCCTCTTCCCTGCCCGCCTCATCTCCATGATGTGTGTGTGGCACTGATAGATGTGTTGCGTCATTTTTAAAATCCATCTCACGCCTAAAGTAATGTGTATAGACTAGGGTTAGAGGGTGCAATACATGCCTTGCCACAGGTGCTGACAATCCATGCTATGCCACTGCCTATACTACCCCTTATCCTACACCAACCCTGTTAACTCTACATTCATTCTAACAGTTCACTACCCTAGCCTTAACCCTATACTATCCCTAACCCACCCTTTAACCTCACCCTATACTAACACTGAGAAAGCCAGGTAGATTTTGTCCTGCATCCATTAGCTATCAAAAGTGGCAGGAGTGCGGCTAGTACCTGTATGGGTGTTAACCTGCCTTCCTCCTTCCCAATGAGCGCTATTAATTATGTAAGAGAGTAACAGAGTCATATCACGAGGTGTAATAATGGTATTTATTAATTAATGACTTTACATCATAAAGAAAGCATATTTAGTGTAATGCTTTGGGGGTACCACTAGGGGCAGTGTGTAGGAAGACATGTGCTTCTGGCAGTGACATCACAGGCCAGCCTACTTACACTGAATAAAAACCAGATGAGGAGAAAACTCTAGTCTCTTTGCCTGTAACTGACTGAACCTAAGATGTAGTACCAGCTCTGACTTAACCCCAGCCAAAGGGCTGGGGCCTTGTAAGTCAAATGTAGCCTTTTGTGTAACATGTAGCAACCTTTTGTAAGTAATATGTTGTAGTTTTGTATTGTATCATTATTGTAGTAAATTGACATTCTGCTAGCATCTGTTTATTTATTATAGTTATATTAAATATACATTTAATATTACAACGTTTTGTGTATTTTCTATCCACATATTCAACCATAATACCATGAATTATAAAAATATTAATGTTGTTCCGTATTGCTTAATTATTATGTATTAAGAGATTAATATTCATATTTAGGTCACGACCACAACACGAGGTATGCCACTCATTCATTTTAGAGGAACTGTTACAGTTCCCAAATAGATGAGAAGAGATAGTAGACATGTAGCAAAGGCAGTGTTGCAGAGAATGTAACACCAAACTGGAACCGAACATGTCGGCTCTTATCAGACTGCAGGAGGGTAACACGGCACGTTAAAAACTGGTTCAGTCTCCATGGAGGTAGATATAAACATTTTATAATGTACCTGAACGTTCCTCTGCTCTTTGCTCAACATCATCAGATTTATTGCGTCTTGTGCGCTGAAAAGACAGAAACAAAATCAGAAAACCAAAACCACTTTGCAAGAACGTTGCAAGCACTTTGATGAAAAAACTCAACATATATAGAGTCCATTCCCTCGCTGCCACATGGGTCTGTGATACAGTTTAAATTATTATAAGTGACCTCAAATACAGACATTAGTTTACTTAAAGCAAGATACCACTAAGATACCGTAGTAATTATGGCACACCTCCAAACCATATTCTTAATGGTATTACTTATTCTCTGGGGTTCTCAATTCACTGTCCCACAGCTCCTCTCAGCTTTAGGTTCCTTGTCAATATATATCCCAAAACAACAGTGCACATGTACCATATACTATTATTATAATTATTAAATTCTAATCTCATATACAATTAGCCGTAGAGACCTAGAAAAGATAGCTCCCACCAAAATGTATTTAAAGAGTTTCTTTGTACACCAGACCACTTCAGTTTTATGGAGTGGTCATGGTGTTTGAAGTCTGTATGCACAGCATTTCGGTATAAATACAGAACTATTTTATAATTCTGCTGTGTACGTTATTAGTACGCCATTAGCCAGTACCTTTAATTGAAATGGTGGGCTTATGGCTACAAATGTATTTAACTATAAAGAACAAAGTAAAATGGGGAGTCCATAGGCTGCCATGGGAATTTAAACATAAAATATTAAGTTAAGGGGTTCAGAGAACTAGTGTTGTTTGGGTTAACATTTTAGAGCTCCCAGTTAATGGTAAGTAAATTGGTAACCTTTGGTCCATTTCTAGAGGCTAACTAATACAGAGAGAATATTTCCAAGCTCTTTTCAGTTTATTTTAAAATTTACATCCACTTGCTGTTTGGTGAATAAACGTCTTAGTGATTTAGGCTACAGTTGTCTTATAGCATTTGAATATTTTTAGTTTCCTTTGTAGTATATATGCTAAAACCACAGTGCACATGCACCATGTACTAGTATAATAGAATTTGAAGCATTCTAATTCTAATCACATGTACTATTAGCTGTAGGAAAGATAGCTCCCACCAAAATGTATTTAAAAAATTCCTTCAAGCACCTTACCACTTCAGTTAGATGAAGTGGTCATAGTGCTTGAAGACTGTATGCGCAGCATTTCAGTAGAACTATTTAATAAGGCTGCTGGAGGTGTACATTATTAGTACGTCATTAGCCAGAACCTTTAGGTGAAATGGTGGGCTTATGGCTTAAACACGTTTTAAAAATATATTTAACTTCCTCGTTTTGTAATATTGTAAACTGCTGCGATATAAGTTGGCGCTATATAAATGCCAATAATAATAACTTTAAAGAACAAAAAAAAAAAAAAGGGTGTCCATAGGCTGCCATGGGAATTTAAACATAATATAATAAGTTAAGGGGTTCATAGAACTAGTGTTGTTTGGGTTAACATTTTAGAGCTCCCAGTTAATGGTAAGTATAAGAAACAAAGAAATCTACTTACTTTTCTAAAGCACAAGCATCGGAAACAAGAGAAAATATTTCTCGCTGCCATTTTTAGTTACTTGATCACTACAAAAGCTAAGCAGTGTCAACTGTCCAAGCAATGTCTAGTGAATACTGTAAACTGTGGTCATCAGACATGATGCTGCAATGATGTCACTATGATGTTACACAGGTCACAGGTCCACACCTCACCAGCATGTCATAATACACAATCTATCTAATCTGATTATTGAAGTTTCTATGTTTAAATATGGATATACTATATTATTATATAACATTTAGAGGTCCATTCATTAAACTGTGAATTGTAATACATTGAAAAAACAAGTTGGAAGATCTAGACTAAAATCTAGGGGACACATTGGTAACCTTTGGTCCCTTTCTAGATCTAATAAAATAGTTTAGCTTTGTAGTGACAAGAAAACAAGAGTCTAATGCACACTATAAAAATGAGTACTTCCTGCATGGTGCTCCAGAAAGGGAGAGAAGGAAGGAATAATATCCTTTTATTAGGAACACATTTGGTGGAGACAACGATTTTGTTTTATACACTAGTGTTTTTGGGTGTTGACACTCACCAGTTTTTACATATTAGAAATGTATCATTAAAAGTTAAGTTTTAATATCCACGCACTAAGGTTGCACGTTAAGTTCTCTATTGTACCCTTACTGTTTCCTGCATCTAGTAGGGTATTCCTTTCTCTCCTGTTCCCCTCACTTTGGTGAGCTAAATAAACTGGTAATTGGGGCACACAACGCTTTTTTTTAACCAAATTTTATAGTAAAGCGATTTTCAGTAAAAAGCAATAATAAACATTATCAAAACTGGACAAATGTTAAAAGGTATTTAAAAAACAAACAAACCTAAAATAATTTATAAGGACTGAAAATCCTAAATACAGTAGATAACAGAAATCATAATCTAAAGATTTTTATTTTTAATATATAGTAAAACCTAAACGCTTTCATAAAAAGTGGTGTTGGGTGAAACTTTTAAAATCAAGCATTTTGTCAGCTGTGAGAGTAAGACTGTAATCTATCTGACACAATGTAAATTCGGTATCCGATACACAGGTAGAACTACTAGGAAATTACATGTTGGCTATTAGAGCATTTCAGCTTTATAAATAGAAGCACAGTGTACCTAAACATCGAAATGAATATAAAGAGTTCTGTTTCAACCTTTTTTTTTAGGAATAGGATTTGTAGTCCCACATTGGAGAGGGGGGGGGGATACTGAAAACATCCTCACTAAAAAAGAAACGGAATGGATCCACAGATTGAAACGTTAGTACCTTTGCATCCTGGATTTAGATACTTTGGCATTTATGGAATAGTCATAATGTTTTAAAGGGTACTTATTTTAGATTCACTTTTTTTTTTTTTGGTAAATATTATTTGGTTGAAACATAAGACTTTGTTGAACCTGTCAATAAAACAGCAAGGGACTTGCATGTCCTAAATACACATATTTGATAAAGGCCTCTGTGTATGCCTTTTTGTTCCAATAGACCTGCCTTTCTGCAGCAATCCTGAGTGGCTGGACCTAATTTATTTTATCTTCTAAACTGGGTTTTGCCAACCCTGGCCGTGATAAGCACCTGGATTCCCAAGTGTGAGTGTGGTATCCTCCGTCTGTGAATTACTAAATATACATATGCCAAATAGAGAACACATAAGTCTTAACATAGACATGATTTTAAATTCACTGAGTGATAGTTATTTTTGTCATTTTCTTTTTTTTTCTTAGATTTCAGAATTTTGCAGGTCCTAACTGTTCAGTCAATAGTCAGATTTTTTTTGTCTATTTATTTTATTGAGACATTGTATTAGGCAATACAGAATAAAGAGAGAAGTATCATGCAAATAAACAGACATAAATAATGCAGATGTATAAACTCCTGAGCAAACAGTGTCATATCGCTTGTTTTTTGTGTGAAATAAACAAAGGAATAAACATGCTGAACATACTAGAGTAAAGTAAAATCAGGCTAGTTCCAGTAGCTAAAACATGTAAATACCACAAGGTTGATAGGCAAGGTTATAGCAGTCAGGTCACAGTACTAGGAGTTAGGTCACAGTGTTAACTACACTATGAGATATCAGCCAAACTGCCATGAATGCCCCTATGCCCTTCAGTTAATGCCCGAAGATGTAGAGTCACAGACCCCCCTCTTTACAGTGTTCTCAGAGAAGCCCCCACAAGGAACTCTGCCAGATGGTCCGCTTCGATCAGCTCCAAAAAAGTTATCATGTCTGCAGAAATAGCTTGTGTCTGCGGTGTTGTTCCCCCTGTGCGCCTGGCCGCACGAAGTGGAAGCCTCCAGGTCGGGCCGGTCCCACTGAGAGTAAAGGGGCTTGTTCATCTGCAGGTGAGGTAAGCCGTAGTTAGCAGACAAGCCTGTATTGCTTCGGTGTGGAGACACGTGGTAGAGATATATGTACTTGGAGATGGTCCACAGGACAGCGAGTTCCCTGCCATAGAGCTTCCCACAAAATAGATTGCAAATGCGGTCAACTGCCAGGAGTATTGGTTCCACAAACGTGGGTGGTGTGCTCATGGCAAGTGTGGGGTAGTGACCATTTTTGGGTGATAGGCCTCAACTCCTTAACTGGCAGTAAAGTAGCAGAGCATGGTGAGGTGGCTGTATCAGAACACTAGTGAGGATCGGGATATCCCCCACCAGGTCCAAAGGGTTGGGTGGACAGGGCTTTAAGCATGCCGGTTGTAGCTCAAGGTAGGGAATCTTCCACCTTCCCCGTCTTCAGGTGCTACTGTAGACCACAGACAAAGTAATCTCGAGCTGGGTCAGCCAGTGACATGCAGAACAGGGCTGAAAAGATTGGCAGAGTATTCCTCAGGGCTTAGACAGGTATTGCCCAGTAAACAGAACTATAAAGTCCAATTTAGGCTCAGTGTGAGGGTTTCCCTGAGGAGCTCCAGCACCCTGCCACTGTCTCGGTCAGCTGTCAGGCCCTGCCCCATTTACAGACAATAGGATTTTTAAATATATATTTTTTTAATTTTACAAGTGAAACTAGGTTTTATATGAGATGATTAATATGTCATTAAATTTGCAATGTTATTATTGGTTACTAATATGTGTTATTCTTATTCCTCAGCCCTTTTATTTGTTTTTTTGTTTTTTTACTTGAAATCTCTCCTTTTCTTTGACATTTTGAAATTTCATTTAATTTCTTGTTTGCATTAAAAGTCTTGTGGTTTTAATATGAAATCCAGTCTACTTTTAAAGATTTTTCATTATTTAGATTTGTCAATCTTTGTTTTTATTGAGGCTTAGATTCTGCATAGGTTACAATAGTACAGACGTGACACCAACAGTTAAAACATGAATTTGCACAGTATAACGACATGGCAAATTTTATTATATCGCAATAATAATTACGTCATAAACAGGAATGCATATAGTAAGATTGTATGGTAATTTCAGTTTGATCACAGTAGCAATTGTGGTAAGAGCAAAAAAAGTTCACAATTCTACACTATAGTAGTTTTGAATATGCCACGATCAGAATAAACTAGCCTCTTTTATCTGAAAATAACACAAAAACATGCATTATAGAAAAGCAGGAAGAGTCAAGCTAGGCAGCATGTCTAAGTGAGTGATATAGGCACAACTTTCAGACTCAGAAATAGGCTAGACATGGTGAGTGTTATAAAAATATAAACATGCTTGCTGATAAAATAAAAAAGAAAATGCTGGACATCAATATAATGAGTTAAACAAGATGAAAGTACAGGAATCCACGCTGCTAAGCATAAGGAAAAATACAGCTGTGGCAAAAAGCAGAAATTACATTTTTTAGTATTTATGTAGTTACGATATCTTGAAATTTCTTCTAATTTATAGCATGTAGTTTTTTTTGTATGCATCTTGTCTGATAGCATTAGGTCTTTTTTGTTCCGATAAGAAATCTACTATATGTGGCTATGAGACTTAAAATATCTTCCATGTAAAAAGGTTTTTATGTATGTATTTATATAGTAATTCTTGATGTCTGCCATATCACGGACTGACCATTGCATAGGCTTTATTTCTTTTGCTTTACACAGTTGAGCCCATGAAGCTAAGGGATGATATAAGGAATTGATATAAGTGAATTACATTTGTAACCGAATACACAAATTCTGAATTTCTGAACGACTATGTAGTGAACATTCGGGCAGGTCCATCACTCCACCCAAGATATGCTTTCTGCCACATGTACTCTGGAATCCATGCATTGGATTGACTTCCTAGCACTTACTGTAAATAACTTTTTCAGTTACGCAACATGTAACTGCTAGTTGAAAATTTCCGCTAATATTGTTATTATACGATCTTTCTCATCAAGCATCCGTAATAGCGAAAGTTGCCCATTCAACATTAAAACAAACAGATATTACAATACAATTCGGCCCAGTCAGACTACTGCTCCAGAATCTTCATGAATTGTGAGAACACTTATTTAAGATGTAGGTTCCACCATATACTCTGGATTCTTTTTGTTAAATAGCCCTGTTCGAGTTTGGCTCTCAGATAAAAATGTCCTCAAACATGGGGTGCACATTGTATCTAGGACTGCAAATCCGTCCTTCATTTCAGATCCTCTCGTTTTTTTTACACACGACGGCCTCTATCCTACTTCTCTTCCTTTAGCACATCCACCATCGTCTGATTACTAATAGCTAGTCCAAGAAATAAATTTTAGAAATTACTGGATAAGTTACCGAAACACTCACCTATGACTTATTAACCTACCTGTATGAATCACAAACTATTTTTTTTTTAACTCAAGTTAAAAAAACAAAACAAAATAGTGCAATCACTATGCAGAACCTTGCATTTATGTTTTTGTCCCGATTCCTTCTGCAATATTTCCCAGCAATACCGTCCCTAAAAGGCTTGCATAATTCCCACCTCCTCTACTGAGCTGATCAAGATCCGAATGCCTTATTTACGGACCTCCTAAGAAGACCCAGTCAGAACAGATTGCAGCATGGATTTACAGAAGATTAAAGTTAATTAAGGATTGGTCACAATTTTTGTTTCCCACTTTCTGTCAAGCTATTTACATGCTAATGTTGTTCCATGTAGGAGAGAGGTGTCGACAATGGTTACATTATCATAAAGGGAGACAGAGAACAATTGGATTTTCTTTTTATAAAATATATTATATGTGTTTTACAGTTGTTCTAGTATGTATGAGTTATTTTCTTTTTATTTTACAAAAGGTTCTTGCTGAAAATAATGTACTCTATTTGTATTGCATAAAATATGCAGAGGAATATATTATACATTTGTAAATGTCTTTTTTTTTGTTTTCCTTAAAGAAAAATATTTAAGCAACAGCATTCAATTTAACTTGGATAATATATTATTCACTTGTCATGCCGACTTAATTTATTTTGAAAACTCTATCATGAGAGTTTTGTCTTGTAATATTGATAAGTCTTACGTAGATATCAACATTGCCCATTAGTGTGTGCGTGTATATATATATATATATATATATATATATATATATATATATACACACTGCTCAAAAAAATAAAGGGAACACATAAACAACACAATGTAACTCCAAGTCAATCACACTTCTGTGAAATCAAACTGTCCACTTAGGAAGCAACACTGAGTGACAATCAATTTCACATGCTGTTGTGCAAATGGGATAGACAACAGGTGTAAATTATAGGCAATTAGCAAGACACCCCCAATAAAGGAGTGGTTCTGCAGGTGGTGACCACTGACCACTTCTCAGTTCCTATGCTTCCTGGCTGATGTTTTGGTCACTTTTGAATGCTGGCGGTGCTTTCACTCTAGTGGTAGCATGAGACGGAGTCCACAACCCACACAAGTGGCTCAGGTAGTGCAGCTCATCCAGGATGGCACATCAATGCGAGCTGTGGCAAGGAGGTTTGCTGTGTCTGTCAGCGTAGTGTTCAGAGCATGGAGGCGCTACCAGGAGACAGGCCATTACATCAAGAGACGTGGAGGAGGCCGTAGGAGGGCAACAACCCAGCAGCAGGACCGTACCTCTGCCTTTGTGCAAGGAGGAACAGGAGGAGCACTGCCAGAGCCCTGCAAAATGACCTCCAGCAGGCAATAAATGTGCATGTGTCTGCTCAAACGTTCAGAAACAGACACCATGAGGGGGGTATGAGGGCCCGACGTCCACAGGTTGGGGTTGGGCTTCCGTGCAGGACGTTTGGCATTTACCAGAGAACACCAAGATTGGCAAATTCGCCACTGGCGCCCTGTGCTCTTTACAGATGAAAGCAGGTTCACACTGAGCACATGTGACAGACGTGACAGAGTCTGGAGATGCCGTGGAGAACGTTCTGCTGCCTGCAACATCCTCCAGCATGAACGGTTTGGCAGAGGTAGCCTGACTGCCATTAGGTACCGAGATGAGATCCTCAGACCCCTTGTGAAACCATATGCTGGTGCGGTTGGCCCTGGGTTCCTCCTATTGCAAGACAATACTAGACCTTATGTGGCTGGAGTGTGTCAGCAGTTCCTGCAAGACGACATTGATGCTATGGACTGGCCCGCCCGTTCCCCAGACCTGAATCCAATTGAGCACATCTGGGACATCATGTTTCGCTCCATCCACCAATGTCACGTTTGCACCACAGACTGTCCAGGAGTTGGCAGGTGCTTTAGTCCAGGTCTGGGAGGAGATCCCTCAGGAGACCATCCGCCACCTCATCAACGCATGCACAGGCGTTGTAGGGAGGTCATACAGTCACGTGGAGGCCACACACACTACTGAGCCTCATTTTGACTTGTTTTAAGGACATTACATCAAAGTTGGATCAGCCTGTAGTGTGTTTTTCCACTTTAATTTTGAGCGTGACTCCAAATCCAGACCTCCATGGGTTGAAAAATTTGATTTCCATTTTTTAATATTTGTGTGATTTTGTTGTCAGCACATTTAACTATGTAAAGAACAAAGTATTTTAGAAGAATATTTAATTAATTCAGATCTAGGATGTGATATTTTTGTGTTCCCTTTATTTTCTTGAGCAGCGTATATATATATGGCTGCAAATCATCCTACAAAGCAAACAAAATGTCTCTGTCATTCCTTGTTTCGTGATTCTGTCATATGGCGATTCAGAGTTTCGAAATTTAGACAACTTGCCAATTTCCCAAAATTGGGACGAATCACGATTCTTTCAAAACGAAATGCACAAGTTCACAACTAACCATTGTGCTGAATTGAATCAGCCATGCTTCAGCCTCACTCATGGTGTTGTTTTTCTTTTCACATGTACAATAACATTTTCTTTCAGTAATCACAACTTCACTCTATAGCTTTACAAATATACTTTCAATAGAGCTTTGTGTTGTCTACT